TTTACCATTCTTTTTCTTCATCACTACTGTATTTGATAGCCATGTCAGGTAATTTTCCTCTCGAATGGCTCAGGCCTCTAGAAGTCTGTCTACTTCCTCTTCCACTACTTCGACGTGCATCAACGTCGGTCTTCTTGCTCGTTGGATTACAGGTTTGGCCGACCTGTCAACGTTCAGTTTATGGCAAGTGACCTCGGGGTCAATGCTAGGCATTTCATAAGGCGTCCAAGCAAACACCTCAATATTTTCTCTCAAGAAAGCTTTCAACTCTTTTTCTTCTTCTTTGGCTAAGCCCGAGCCGAGAAGAAAGAAGCGTTCTTCATCCCCCTCTTGGACGAGGATTTTCTTCAGTGCTTTTTCACTCTTCTCGGCTGGCTCCTTACCGACATCTTCTAGGACTTCCACGTCCTCGTCTTCGATCTCTGCCTTCTCTGGTTCTCGTATGCTGCAGGTGGATTTCATTGCTGCCATGGAGCAACTCTTCGCCTGTAGCTGATCTCCTCGTGACTCTCTTCTATCCATGCTTGTTGGGAACCGCAGTAGCTGATGCCAAATGGTTGAGGAACAGGCCCACATTGCTGCAACCATGGCCTTCCCAAGATAATATTGTAAGGGGAGGGTGTGTCGATTACAGTGAACTCTGTCTTTATCTTCTTGGTGCCAGCCTGCACTTCCAAGCTTGTTGCGCCCAGCGGCCATGTCGGCGTTCCATTGAACCCAACTATTGGGCCATTGGATTGCTCCATATCATCAGGGTGAAGGCCTAGCTCCTTATAACATCTGACATACATGATGTCACAGGAGCTTCCTTGGTCAAGTAGGATGCACTTCACTTGGCACTCCCCAACCTAGAGGGATACTACCAAGGCATCGTTGTGCGGATGTTGTACCATCTCAAGGTCGGCTTCAGTGAAGGACACCACCGGTCCCTGGCACTCCTCGGCCCGAGGTTTTTTCTGCCGGACCTGGTACACATGCTGCAGGTGCTTTACCTTCTGGGTCTCCCCCCATATTTCATTTTCATTGACCTTCGAATGAATTACATTGACTACCCAAGGTCCGCCTGCCTGCGGTTGCTATGCTGGGAGAAGTGGAGCTGCTGGTGCCTGAGGAAGTCTTGCTTGCTCCTCCCTTGTCCTGGCCTCATCTACAAGGTCCCTCAAATAGCCTTGCCTTACCAAGTCTTCTAGGTGTGACTTCAGGGCTCTGCAACCCTGAGTCAGGTGCCCATCTTCATTATGGTAAGCACAATGCTTGCCAAGGCTCCTTCCCATAAACTCTCCTGGTACCCTAGCTGGTGCTCTTGGGTTCGGATTTTATCCAGAACTTTGTGAATTGGGATTCGAAATACAGTTGTGACTGCCTGTGCAGTTCTCAGCCCTATCTCTTGCTTGTTGGATCCGTTGTTACCTCGGCCTCGCTTCGGCGAGCCGTTTGCTTTCTCCTTATTTGTCGCCTTTATCCCTGGCGTGTCTTCCTCGGCTCTGGCGTATTTCTCAATTCCGACCATGAGCTCTTCCATACTTTTTGGCAATGTCTTTGCCAATGACTTTCGTAGTGTGCAATCATCTTTCAGGCCGTTCTTGAAAGACACGACCGCCACCTCTTGGTTGCATTCGGGTATTCGATTGAACACCTCATAATATCTTTTTGCGTAGGCCCTAAGGCCTTCATCCTCGCTGATTCTTAGGGCCATTAGGGTGTCCACCCTTAATGGCTGCAGTTTGTTTGTCACGAACCTGGCCACGAACATCTCGGCCAGGCCTTCCCAGGTCTTCACACTTCCCTTCGGCAATTTGTGAAACCAGTCCAATGCAATCTCCCCGAAGGATGGGGGGAACACCTTGCAGAGCAATGGCTCGTTCCCAGTGTACAGTGCCATCGAGTTCAGGTATAATCCAACGTGAAAGTTGGGATCCGACTTACCATCGCATATTTGGAACCTCGACATACTGAATCTTTTTGGCGCCTCAACTTTGTCTAACTCTGTCGAGAATGGTGTTCTCGGTTTAACTGTTGAAGTTACCTCGGCATGCTTTTGCTTCCTCTTGAGGTAATCTCTCAAGTCCTCTTCGGTCCGCCCAGGAGCTCGGCTATCTCCTGATTTCAATCTTTTAGGTGCACTACTTTCAGCTTCGTTGTGAGCCCTTTTTGACTTTTCTCCATTGGTCGCATCGAAGCACAACTTCTGCCTTTGAACATGCCGATGTTCTCTGGGGTCTGCCTCCTTGGTGCGATGTGTCCTTCGAGATTCTTCCCTTCTTGGCTCTCATCGCCCGACCTCCCTTGAAGGCCGGTGAGAGTGTCTTTCGCTCCTGGCATACTGGGGGGCTACAAGGATTGTTTTCTGCCCTCCCTTCTAGGCATTGGCTGCTGGAATCGGTGTGTCCTGCAACAGGAACGGTGGTTGCATGACATTATTTTGCATCATGAAATTGACCATTGTTTGCAGGTCCGCCAATTTGTTCGCCATGGTCTTTACCTCATCGTTCCTCTGCATGCATCTTTCTTTCCATACCTGGCGGTCGTCCTCGTTATAGTACCCGATTTGGTCTGTTTTCTTCGGTACATCACCTTCTTGGCCGACGTCTTTCCCTCCATGATTCTGGTCACGAGTTTCTTCATTACAATTATCTTCTTCGACGTCGAGGTCAATAGGTCTCCCACTCCCAATAGGAGTGTTATCTCCAATCTTCTCTTTCTGTCCGTCGTTGGCCATCTATTCTTCTTTCTTTCCCACAGACAGCGCCAAATTGTGTGAGTAAATTTCTGACCACACTGCTAACTCAGTATTCAACTGGAGAGCACTGGCAGAATAGGATAAGCCCGAACGTCCTGCAACAGAGAGAAGAGATTCCGGTGGTGGTTCATCCACCCGGGGGCACTCCGATAATTAAGTCAGTAATCAAATATCTCTCAAAGATAATCAATAGTGCTTAACTCACTGTTCTGAATATAAATTGTGTACCTTAGACCCATGGGGGTGCCTCTCTTTTATAGCTAACTCAATCCTAGTCCCAATAGAAGCCTAGCTTCAATGGACTTCTGCTCAGTGCTTATCTTGGACTCTCCAATAGATAAAGATAAACTCCCTAAGAGCTTTATCCTTATCCAGGCTGAAGTCCTTCCTCATTCTAGGACTCTTGTCCCTTATCCGCTTATCCTGGATTCTGATATCTTCGGAGATAACCTCGGCCTAGCCGAGCTTACCTCGACGTTACGACCAGGACACGTGGCACCTCGGCTGACACGTCGGCGGCACCTTGGCCACGTGTTGATACTCAGAAAATATGACCCCACAATATACCTAATCTATTAATTTATATTTTTCCTTTCACATTCACATATCATCCCCTTCACACGTCGCTTCTTCCTTGCTTGGACAAAAGGTAATGTCGTTAGTTGAGTATTCTTGATAAGTAAATATCCTACCCAAATTCAACCAACTCATATACACACGGGTTATGACGGGATAGAGACATTGATCTTCTTATGTTCTTGATTGCATGTATTGAGCTTAACATCTGACTGAATTAGGACATCCATATTTTTTAACGTAACTAAAATCTCTTTCAGTCTGACTAGAGGTGTGTATGGTCCAGTTTGGATCGATTTGAGATGAAATCAAGACCAATTTATTATCTACGATTCTATAAAAATTAGAACCGAACCAAACCAAACCAAACCATCAAAATCATGCAACCAATCAGAACCAAATCATTTAAACACGATTCAATTCTGTATAAAATCACAGCTTCACATAACCTGTTCATAAGAAAAAAATTATATAAATTTTCAAAAAAAATCAACGTATCATTTTAAAAATAATAATAGCATACTCATCAAACAAACTACTCTCATAATGTTCACCAGTTAAACAAAAACATAACATTAAGCAAACATATTATTGAATATTAATCAGACATAATTTTTCAAAACGTAAACTTGCCTATTGTTCAACCATTAATTTAAACAAACATATCATCTTCCTCCTTTTTTTCGATACTTTGGAATGAAAATTACAGCAAAGAAACTACACCTTTTCCATAGAAAGGCCAATCATATCAGCCACCAACAAGCTTTGGATCACCACTGGTAGATCATTTACTACCATTAAATCATTGGGCTGCTCTGCCCCGAGTTTGGCAAGCGCATAAGCACACCCATTGCCGTCACGGAGAATGTGTTGAATTGAGCATTCACAACCTTGAAGAATGACTCGTCCATCTTCAATCAGACCTCTGACAGAGCAGTTTCTATCTGGGCCTTCCTCCATTAGCTCGACAACTTGCACTGCATCAGTCTCAATTGTCACCTTAAGTCATCCAGCGTTGTAGGAGTATTGTCGGTCCTTTGTACACTGCCCATATCTTAGCTTCCAAGCTGGTACAATTTTCTATCTCTTCTCTCACATTCAACATCTCAATCAATTAAATGTTCTCTCACACCCATATAGTCAAAAAAAAAATATATATATAAATAAAAAAATTCAAATCATCCTAAAACTATTTTCAAAACTCATAACCAAACAAATTTTCAACTTTTAAAACTCAAAATACAACTCAAAACTCAAAATTTATTTCAAAAACTAATCAACCAAACGGAGCTTTAATGTCCTTGCAATAGTTTTTTTACTTGCCATTGCTATTGAAATTTTCACAAAGTTGTCATTGATTTGTTGTTTTTTTTCCCCACATACCATTGAAACCTAATTGGGATAGAAGAAATTCAATGCACTATGTTTGGTTAAATTTTGTCTTGTACTTTTTTTTTTTTTTTAAAAAAAATTAGGATTGGAGAAATTCAATTCACCATTTTGGTTGAACTTTGTCTTCTATTTTTTCTATTAAAATAAAAAGTGGTAAATTGAATTTCTCGTCCTAATTTTTTGTAACTATTTCTAATGCTAATGTAACGCTCCCAATTTTATTATTTAGATATTTTCCTAAATTCCTTGTTGAAGTCCCTTTCCAAATTATAGTTATGGAAGTAAAACAAGCTGAATAGAATAATTAATATCCACTCTCGCACAAATATTTACAATAGACGAACAACATTGTCTCCATAACACTTTAATCTTTCATCTACAATCTCTATAAGGACTCATAATGAAATAAATAATTCCTTGAACTTTAAACTAGTGTAACTGACCCTGACAATATCATCCAATTCTTGTAGAATTATTCCACACTTTAAACCTCCAACACAAATCCACCATGCCATATATATTTACACAATTCTATAGCCAAACAACAAATATAACATAACTAACAACTGACTTCATTAAGCCAATCCAACGCAGTTTACCAGACACTAATCAAAAGGAAAGTTGGAACCTATCTCAAAACGCCACGCTTTACTAGTAGTTAACCGGAAGGAATGCAGAACTTCTATTAAGTCCAACAGTCCATACGCTTTACCAGGCATTACTTCAGAAGGAAGGCAAAACCTCTATCAAGTGCCACGTTTTACCGGTCCCAAGATAGAAAGAAACGGGCCCTCTTATTGAGAAACAACCACAACCACTTAATCCAAACTCTCGAGCATAGTGTGTCATGGGGTATTCTGTTATGCTGAATTGGGTCACATCGGCGCAAAATACCAAATTAAGGGACTTAAGTGCCGTCCCAACAACCGCCATACCCATTCTTAAGTGATGATGCCCACATGCCCTCAAAAAAATCTCACCATTTTCCTCCATCAGATAGGATAGTCCACTCATGCGGCTCAAACCAAAGACCCCATTATTGAAAAGAGATCTGCAAACCCTGCATGTTCGCCATATCTGAGCCAAAGGTAAAGGGTAAACTTCCAACACTTGTTTCAGCACATCCAAGATTTCATCTCTAAGAGCTGCTTCATTCTTGTCCTGAACCTGGTTTGTAAGTATTCGTCTGTGAGAACATATTCCTCATCATATTTACATAAGAAGCATAAAATACTAGATATGACATTGCATTACATACAGTTTGCCCACTTATGGATTTAAACATTTCAGATCTAGCCCCTGCAGGGGAATGAAAAAGATGCAGCTGAGGAATCTTGAATACGTTGAAATATAGAATATTTGAGCGACAAAAGAAAAGAAAGCATATAAGAAACTCCAAATGGAAATGTTCATAGTCGGTAAATTAAGCACAGAAGGCATATAAATTTGTGCACACTTTTCTTCTATATGAATATAATGAACTTTCCATTCCAATTTTGATTTATTCTTTCTACTATCAAAAATCATGTCAATAACAACATAAATGTATTATGTTCAGTCCTAAGAGGGTAAAAGATGATTAGTCCAAATTTCAAAGGGCAGGATGATTGAAAGTGAAGTACATCTTTAAGTCAACCACAATTAGCCTGTGAATGCTCAGTTGAGTAAACAGCTTAACCCATGAAGTAACATCATCAGTATTGAGTATAGTAAGAAACAGAAATAACAGGAGGTTAGATTACCCAAAAATAAACAATGAGAGGGGAGAAAATGACCTGTCCAAATTCACATAGATGGAATAAAACATCTCAAATGCGTGTAAATTCATGAATGTCACATATTCATGAAGAAATAAAACATCATTACAAGAGAGTGGATATGGTAATTTTGTGGGAGAGGAGAGGAGAGGAGAGGGACAAGCCAGAAAAGCATCATAAGCCTGTGAATGCTCAGTTGAATAAACAGCTTAACCCATGAAGTAACATCATCAGTATGAGTATAGTAAGAAACAGAGATAACAGGAGGTTAGATTACCCAAAAATAAACAATGAGAGGGGAGAAAATGACCTGTCCAAATTCACATAGATGGAATAAAACATCTCAAATGCGTGTAAATTCATGAATGTCACATATTCCTGAAGAAATAAAACATCATTACAAGAGAGTGGATATGGTACTTTTGTGGGAGAGGAGAGGAGAGGAGAGGGACAAACCAGAAAAGCATCATAGGCACAAGCTTCCTCCAAAAAAATTAGGAATGCATCTCTGGTGGTAAACAGTAGCTCAAGTACACCGACACATGTATGGTCCGCGGGTTCAAACACGGGCAAAGCCAAAGCTGATCTAATTTGGCAACTTAAAGCATGTTCGAGTTGTGGATACTCTTTGTTAGAGTAATACTCGACATTCGGAGAGGACTCAACCAATTGATGCTTGAATACACGGCCAGGAAGCCCAAGTTGTTGTTCAGTAGCCCCCCCATCCACGTAAAATTTATAGTCTTTAGAGATCATCCTATACCAACAAAGTCCTTTATATATTTTACTAAGAGCGAAAGGTTGGTTTTGGGTTGTAAGAATAGCCTCGCCGTCTGTTGTTATGGGTGCCCAATATTGAACTAGTAATGCATCAATTCTGGAACTGTTGAATACTTTTCCAACCACACATTTGATCTCGTCTTTTAACTCCCACTTCTCGGATTTGGGAATCAAATCCGAATTATCTGCTGCTATTCAACACAAAATTATCATGTCAAAAAAAACCCAATGCCAAAACTTACCAACCACTCTATGTCTATGTCTATGTCTATGTCTATGGGATCAATCTTACATTTTTGTTCTTAGGAATGTTAACATACTCACCGTAAGAGCAGAAAACGCCCGAATTTCTATCCTCCGGTTGCCAAGATTTGATTTCCGTCTCCAAATCTTGATATCCATCTCTGTCCATTCCTTCATCTCCTCTTCCTCCTCCTTCATGGATGCCACCGCCCTCACCAGCACCATGCAACAAAAGCATCATCCCCGTTCACCAACACCGCACCGCCTTCCCCTTCCCCTTCCCCTTCCGAAAAAAGTTTTCGTTTGTTGGGGAAGAGAGCCTTCTCGAAGGGGTTCTTTTCTGAACCCATTCATTTCGTTTGTTGGGGAAGAGAGCCTTCTCGAAGGGGTTCTTTTCTGAACCCATTCACAACCTTGATCTGGTTCATCCGGTACACATGGTTTTAAGAATTTTTTTTTGCAGGGGAAGAGAGCCTTCTAGAAGGGGTTCTATTCTGAACCAATTCAAAAAACTGCATCTGGTTCATATGGTTCAAGAATAATTTTTTTTTTATATATATATATATATATGTGAACTTATATTAAAGTTTAATATTTTGATAATAATCATATATGTTAGATTTTTTTTAAAAAAAATTTATACTTATTTTTAATGCATTAAAATTTTATTATGAGGAAATTTTAATTAAATTTCTCAAAAGACTTGGAGGTTGGGAGAAGTTTATAAATTTTTATGATGGTGCTATATCCACCAATTCGTATACACATTAGTGTATCAACTACTGTTGTGATATTATTATTGACCACATTTATTATATAGGTTATAAATACCTAAAACTATACAAATGATGTCGCATCGTCTGTTGGTACATTAGTGTGTACATTAATTGGTACATATAGTATTATTCAAATTTTTTTTATTCTTGCCCTTAATGCATTAAATTTTTATTATGAGGGGATTTTGACCAAAAAATAATGTTAGAGATTTCAAAAATTCTACCAAATTTTTTACCAAATGTCTCACATGAGTGTGAGACCTACACAATGTGGGTCCTATGTGGGTCTCATACTCATGTAAGACATTTGGTAAAATTTTTGATAAACTTTTTGTAGTCTCTAGTATTTTTGTTGACCAAATCTCTCAAAAGATTTGAAAGTTAGAAGAAGTTAATAAATAGTAAGTTTTTTTTTCAAATCAAAAAATTAAAATTAGCGTATTAAAACTCTCACAAAATTTATGAATTAAAAACTCCTTTTTTATTTTATATAATATATAGATAGATGGGGCATGTAAGAAAAATAACTTGTAACTCGAATAGTCCAAGGCTCAATTGGCCCGAATTGCAAAACGATGTTGTTTTGCAATATAGATATTTTTTTTTCTTCTTTCTCTTTTGTATCTGAAACAGGGGCATGAGAAGTGACAGAAAGCAAAAGAAGAGAGAAGAAAGAGCGAGAGCGATGGCGATAGGCGATGGCGGCGGTGCGAGATGGTGATGGGCGACGGTGCCAGATCTGTGTTTTTTTTTTTTTTTTTTTTTTGAAATCTTTGTTTTAGGTTAAAAAAAAAAAAAAAAAAACCGGTGGGTTGACCGGTTGGTCAACCAGTAAGGCTAAATTTTTTTTATTACCTTTTTGAACTGTTTGAACCTACTTATTTTGAACTGTTTGAACCTATTTCCGGTCGACAGTGGGTCGACCGGCCGGACGTCCAGTAGGTTGACCGGTGGGCCCACTTGTAACGTTACAGCACAGTGAATTGGTGAAAGCTTACGCAGATTCTCAGTTTGGTGAAAAAATTTCTCCGTTGATGATGCTGGTTGTTGATGTTGATGAAATCCAATTCCTTTTTTTTTTTTTTGATGAAACTCAGTCCCTTTCTTCTTTTGATGAAACCCAGTCCCTTTTTTCTTCTTCTTTCTTCTTCATCCTCTTTATTTCATAACAGAGAGAAGGAAAAAAAATAAAAATAACAAAAATAACAAAACAACATCATTTTACTATTCAAACCATTTTAACCCTCAACTTTTTCGAGTTATAAAACGGGATTGAGGCATGTAAATACATTTTTCAATAGGTTCCTTGCCCGAATAAAAAGAAATGGGGCCGAGCAAATGCATTTTTCCAGTCGGCATGGGGTTTATAAACTTCTCTCTAGGCTCTGATCCGAGTCCCAAGGATTCATCCGAGATTGGATCTGTAATTAATGAGTTTGAAAAGAAAAATAATAATTAAATGGGCCAGTGAGTACAATTTTTCCAATCACTAATTATGGGTAACGAAGGGTTCACAAGACAAAAGCATAAGGGTCAACAGTTCAAAGATTCATATTAGACTTGAGGTTCAATGAATTTTCAAATCACGTTTGTGGTCACGCCTCCTTTTACAAGTTTGTGAGGGTTTATTTGGTGTTGCTAGGCAACTATTTCATACTATTTATTCAATCTGTGGATGGTAGAAGACAAGGGAAAAATAAGATGTGAATTGAAACTAAAATGAATAGAGAATTATACGATATTTTAGATATTTGAGTATGAATTTATAATATTATTATTAAAATTGAGACAAGATATGATTTGTTGGTGATGTCAAATCTTAAAAATTTTTTATGTAATTTTCTTATTCAAAATTTTCCAACTACTACGGGGTTCATTGAGTTTTCGCTACTCTTCAAGATTTGAATTTGGTGTCCAGAGGGTTCAATGACAAGCCCATTATTGAGGTTCAATAGGTTCTATGTAAAGTTTGGCAGAATAAAAAAAGAGTGGGGCCAGCAAACACATTTTTTCCACCACTATGGGGTCTATAAAGTTCTCTCTTGACTCTGATTGGAGTCCAAAGGGTTCATTCGAGATTGGATCTGTGTTAGAAAAAAAATTTAAAAAATGGGCCTAGTGAATACAATTTTTCCAACCACTTACGAGGGGTTCATACGACAAAGCATTATATTCAACAGTTCAAAGAGCTCTACTGAATGGTTCACGTTAGGCTTAAGGTTCAATGAATTTTCAAATCAGGTAACCTTCGAATCACTTTTATGTTCACACCTACTTATTCAAGTTTCCTTCGTGAGGATTTATTTGGTGTTCTTAGGTATTCAATCAATCTGTGATGTTTGTCTTTTTATTTTTTTAAATTAACATAAAAATAATATATCTTTTTATTATTTTAATTTATAAAATACAATTAAAACATTACATACACATCTCATGTAGTAAATAATTTACCTTTCTTCGTGCGGTCTATATACTTGTGGATTCATATATTTAATCTCTCAATGGTTCAAACAGTTGGATTGAATGTTCTAAGGTTCAAATCAGGATTAAATGTTACTAATATGTTCTTTTCAAATTGAGAAATGCCAAAATATCAAATGTTTATAAAAATACTAAAATATTAGTAGATGTAAGATTTATTGTAATGATTATTAGATTTTATTAATACCAAATATATTGTGTTTGGTTTGTTTTTGAGAGTGTGATTTTCAAAAAAAAAAATTTGGAGAGAGAATTTAGAATTTTTTTTGGTTTGTTTGATTGTATATTTTGAAAGTAGATTTGAAGTTTGAAAGTTTGGGATGATTAATATTTTGTTGTAAGGGCATCTCCAACGGTTCAGTATTTTTTTCACCAAATTTGCGTAAAAAATGGCTCATTTTCTTGTTGTAAGGGCATCTCCAACGGTTCAGTATTTTTTTCACCAAATTTGCGTAAAAAATGGCTCATTTTCTCAATCTGATATCAGTTGCTCCAACAGTGCATCAAAAGAAGGGTCATCCCGTGGGTCGACCAGTCGGTCGACCGGTAAGGCTAATTTTTTTTTTTTTTTTGAACTGTTTGAACCTGTTTCCAATCGACCGGTGGGTCGACCGGCTGGACGTCCAGTAGGTTGACCGGTGGGCCCACTTGTAACGTTACAGCACAGTGAATTGGTGAAAGCTTACGCAGATTCTCAGTTTGGTGAAAAAATTTCTCCGTTCTCAGTTTAATATCAGTTTGGTGAAACCATTGGAACATAAAAAGTGACTTTTTTCATCAAATTCAAATTTGATACTGAATTTGATGCAACGTTGAAGATAGTCTAATTGAGTAGATGTGTGTGAGAGAAAAAGTGATTGAAAAAGATAGAAGAGAGAAAAAAAATAATTGATTGATGTGTAACAGAGAGAAAATGATTTTGAAATTTTTTTTGAGAAAAACCACAAACCATACAAAATTTTGAATTTTCAAAAACTACTTTCCTAAAAGCAAACCAAACAAGCTCAATGGGAAATATTAAAAATTAATACCTAGAAGGGGAAATACTAAAAATTAATTTTTTTTTTAATATGTTAGAAATTAATTATCTTTTAAAAATAGGGATAAATTACAAATGCGATAAATTATTGGTAGAAATAAATTTATGACATTATTAAAAACGATTAATTAAATTGATAATTTATTAATAAAGGAGTCATTCGTTATGAAATTAAAAATTTCAAATGTGTGATATAAATTTTAAAACTACAACAATTCGCATTTTAAACAAACTTTAAGAGATAGATTTATAATTTATCCTAACCCATCCACTGAAGATATCATCATCATCATCATCCACTGGACAGCGGTTGACTTGAGTGTCCACGTATTGCTTGAAATCGTCTGGGATATATGCTGTTAGTCTTCCTTCTTCATCGCTACTGAAATCAAAAGGGACATCAGATTCGGCCATTTTCTGAGAATTACTTATCAGGGAACCTCAACCATAAGGACTAGTATGCTTTATTTGTAGATAACCAAGAAAGGGGACCACTAAGGGCCAGTTTGGGACTTATTATTTTAGTTTTTTTTTTTTTTTTGTGAGATTAAAAAAAATTATGATGATTTGTAAAAAAAAATTTATAGTTAAATAAATAGTTGTGAGAGAAAAATTAATTAATTAATGTGTAGAATATGATATTTTATCTTATTACCTATTTTTTAACTTTTTATTTTTATCTTTATTAACTTATTTTAATAAAAAAAATTAAAAAACCTAGTCCTGAAACATGGCCTAAACACAATTTTTTAGGAGTACTTACGTGTAGGTCATAATAAGTAAATTTATTATCTAATAGGTATTATGGGAAAAATTTCTCATAAAAAAAAGCTACTAATTGTAAGTTTTAACTATAATTTATAAAAATCATAACAAAAAAAAGTCACTAATTGTCAATTTTTAGCGATATATATAAAAAATTGTCACAAAAAATTTATTTTTAATCACAATTTTACCAAGACGTATTTTCAATAAGACTTTATGGGAATTAAGTCTAACTATTAGGACCTATTGATAATTTATCTTCTTTTTTTTTTTTTTTCAAAAATTTTACCAAACAAGTTTTTATTTGAGTTTTTAAAATTTTTATAAATATAAACAGAAAACTGAAAACGTAAGTGTTACCAAACGACACCTATACTTTTTTATGATTTTTTTTTCTGTCCACTGTTTCCCCATTTTTTTTTCCGAGCCACTAAATATATTTTATCTATTGGGGTTGGAAGGGT